CCGTCTGATTTATTTGGTACTGGAATAATCAGAATAGTAATATCATAAGCATTAGCATAACCGATGACAATAATTGAACAATGTCATACATACATACATACATACATACATGCATGCATACGTATATACGTGCGTGCGTGCGTGTATTTGATGGAGACCTTTTGACAGTATCTGAAAAATCTGTGATATGTTTGGTCAGGAGTCTTGGTCACTAATCGAAGAATTTAAAGTGCAAAGCGGAAGCTGCGTCAACCTTGTGAGTCCTCTTCTGTAAATTGGATAATAGGTAAAATCCCTGGTCTTTATGATTTATATCGTACTAGCATGCTGATTCACCTCTTCTGTCTCGTTTGTATTTATAAGCGGGGGTGGGGGTGCTAGGTACTTTACTATTTCAGACAATGACACATAATAATCTCAAGCTTTTGTAACAATGGTGTATGGTATGTAATTTGCAGAATTCCTCAGACACCCTTCAGGACATAAACTTGATATCTTCAAATTGGAAAGGCATGGTTAGTACGCAAATGGTCTTGAATTCTGATCTACTTGGGGTGATAAGGATGGAGCTTGGGGTGATTGATTGATTGATTGATTGATTGATTGATTGATTGATCGATCGATCGATCGATTGATTGATTGATTGATTGATTGATTGATTGATTGATTGATTGATTGATTGATTGATTGATTGATTGATTTTCCGGCGCGCCAGCACTACGAGGCTATTTAGCGCCATACAAAAGGTTATATCTTTCATTATTTAAAAATGGTAAAAGTTTTCGTATCGACCAGCGATTTGAGACTAAACAGTTAAAGGTAATACAATAAAATGGTAATGGTGATAAATAAATAAAATTTACCGATCAACGGGGAGTGCAAAAAATGCATGACAACGACAACAGACGTATCGCAATTATAATCTAACGATATATATATATATATATATATATATATATATATATATATATATATATATATATATATATATAAATAACTTAACTGTTTAAAGTGACAATATAAAAGCTGTAACTGATGATAAATGTTTGCTTCCTTGAGGAAGTCTATAATATAAGAAACGCTAACTGTATCAAAGAGCTCCCTCATATCTTGCACATTGTAATAGCATACATTCCAAGTCTCCAGATTTGTCCGAAAGTCTTTTGATTTTTGACACCATCTTTTCATCTACCAATTTGCTGACAAATCTCCCGTAAATTAGAAATAGAACCTGCCAATAATAGGTATTTCCAGCTAAAACAACAATTCGAGAAATATACCTCGGATTTAATTCGTCCCCATTGATAATTATATTATGAAGTACTTCTACTCACGTGACCATTTTAGGTTGCGAGATTTATGTAATCAAATGTGACTCGGAATACAATTAGCGAGTTTCAGGTCAAATTTCATCAACGCTGTACTTTCGGCTAGTCTGTCAGCGGATTAAAGATATAATGAATGGTATACTCCCTACATCGGAGAAAATAAATCCTATTCCTATTGATTTCATGCAGATATATCTTGACGAAAGGTCGTCAAAGTTTGCTAGACCTTCTATTAAGCGGCTACCCAATCCCGACATAAAATGGTGTCCGCGAATTCCAACTTTTCCATAGTGAATGGACTCTGATCCTACCCCTCCCCCAACATAAATGTCTAAATATCACAAATCTCCCTGATTTGTTTCCGGAAAACTTGACATGTATGTAATAATGATTACACGTAAGTTGAGGGTCTAAGCACTCCAATATAAAGTGCTTAACAGTGCATGGCTCATTGCAAGATATGAACTCTGGTGGGTCTTCTCTTTTTAGTATGTAGGAGAGGGTTAAATAAGTATGACCAATTCGAATTCTTGCAATGACTGCCTCCTCTCTACGGACGGATCTATAGGAGGAGTCCATTCTCCTGTGGTTAACTTGATGGCATGAAATTTGTTATTCATGGCATCATGGATGCCTACCATTTCTGACGCAAACAGTCTTTGATATTACGTTTAAAATCAGTATACATTGTATTAAAATCAGATGTTTCTAGTGATATGGCCATTTTAGCTGCGCGGTTTGCTTTATCATTACGTTAGGATAGTTTTGCTTTTTGCATATTTTCCTTTACTCCTCTGATTGAAGACACTGATTTATCCTTGAGGAAGATTTGGGCATGTGCAGAATGGTTATAAAATTTATGTTTACCTTTAGGAGATGATGGGTTAGCATATGGCCATTCCTTTGAGAACACAGAAGCTATTAGGATCCCATCATATAATTGTGTCAATCTTTTGTGTGTTATATTTACTTCTGCAAATGAAAGTACCTACTTTATGCCCTATTGAAAGATCTAGCTTTTATTCATGTAGTCTTGTCGATTTTTAAACGTAATAAAAATTAACGTCATATGAAGCAAACATTTACAACGGCACCTGTATGTACCTGTATTGAGGCAACACGAAAACCTGTAATTAGAGCTTAAAACTGCAATAAAAAATAATAACATGCTTACCGGATTGTAATATACCAACGAGCTTGGCATTCCCTTTATTCCAGTCATCAATGCCACATGTTACATGCAAGTCTTTTAAAATACATGTTAAAGTTATAATGGGAATTTCATGAAATTGAAAGAGAATGTATGTTTGTGTTAAATGATAGAAAATGCTTTATTTCATGTATTTATTCATGAAAATGAGGTTACATAGGTAATAAATTGTGTGACCAGTTCTTTACATGTTTATTAATGTAAGAGTATATATCGATTACTTCCTAAGGCATTTCCACATTCGAAAATTTATTTCATTGTTTAAAACAGCCAATAACTGACGCCATACACTATAACAGCGAAACGACTATAACGTTTCGCAAATAGCCATTCGAATTTTACTATAACCTGAAAGAGAGATACAATATGAAAATTATAACAGTGAACTATATTTCTTGCCGATGAGGTTTCTGAAGTGGTATTTATTTATATGATCATTATGAATACAGTTGAAAGTGAGGTAAAGTTAGGAAAAGGGAGGTTGGATGTGCTACTGAAGCGTGAGTTTAATCTTCTATACTTCAATTTATGAGTTTGCCATATACCAAAAATGTATTTTCCAGCGTAAATACAGAATATATTTCACTTTGTGGTACAAAAACGGTGTGTTATCTCGCACCTTTTATGCACCACGCGATGTATCGTTATTAAAGTAACAAAACAAATTCAATATTAAAAAATATAAAAATACCAGAATGTAGAAATTCTCTATATATTCATTTGACAAAAGGACATTTATGCAACATGTCATAGCTGAGTTCATTTTAAAACCGTGTCTAAAAATCAAACATTTCAATTAATTCGGGTTTTATCTGGATAAACAAATATATTTATATTTCATAAGGATGAAATGTTATACATGCCTACTGGCATGATTAAGGAAAAATCTTGATTTGCTTTCCCATGCCCACCAACAAATGCAAGAAAATATATAACGCCTTTCCACCTATGCACACCAGGCTGGACTGAGAGTAAGCCAGAAGACAGAGGTTATGTCTCTCAACATAGAGTCACCAATACCAATAAGAATATATGACGTAAACCTACTCAGCAATAACAGCCTTACATATCTGCCAACAGCATCCGAGGAGATGGAGGCACCAAACACGATATCAAGAGCAAACTAAGCAAGACCAGAAATGTATTCCGAAGTATGGACAGAGTATGGAGATCAATACATTATGGTCTCTATACCAGGCTTAAGTTGTACCGGAGCTGCATCTTAGAATCTCTGATGTATGACTCGGTGTGCTGGCATACTGTTGAATGTGATCTTGCCAAGCCCAAGTCCTTCCATACCACTGTCTCTCGAAAGATGCTTCATATCCTTTCGTCGAGGAAAATTTCCAGCCATGACATTCTTGTACGATGCCACCAAGACACTATCATCATTAAAGGACGCAGAAGATGATTCAGGCATATGATTAGATAGGTGGCAAAAGCAGTTTAGTTTTAAGGACAGAACCTAGGGACGAAAGAGGCGTAGGAGGCTTACGACAATATATCGTTATACTGCAGAGACTTACATGAAGACCCTTCACCACAGTTGAGGCACACTAGAGAAAATAGCAGAAGTATAAAAGTTTCGCTGTTGCCCTTCAATCTACTGGGCTTCTTAAGTAAGTAAGTAAGTAAGTAAGTAAGTAAGTAAGTAAGTAAGTAAGTAAGTAAGTAAGTAAGCATGAAGGTCCTTCAGTCAATATTTATATTAAACCTTTTGATAGATGAAAACAATTATATATATATATATATATATATATATATATATATATATATATATATATATATATATATATATATATATATATATATACAAATGCCACATGTGGAAGAAAGTTTTTAAATTGTCGGTACCTTTACTGACATTTTGTCTCCTTTTTCTTTCAACCATCTGTAAAATATGAAGAAAATTAGTGTGAACTAAATGACTCCTGATGTGATTGTATAGTGATCGAGTAAGTAGATGATGATGATGATGATGATGATGATGATGATGATGATGATGATGATGATGATGATGATGATGATGATGAAAGATTTATAGAAGTGGTGATGATACACGAAATCACGAGTTTCAGAATCTGCCCTAATAAATCATTTGACAAATCAATATATCGATTTATCATCAATCGACCAGCAGATCAATCAGTCACGAAAAAGGAGAAAGAAAAAATGTTTAATCTCTAAAAAGATGATAATATGAATAAAAAATAAATGCTAATATAAAAATGATGCACCACCACAATGAATTTGATGTTCCGGTATTTTTTTTAAAAAAAATAGAATTTGGTGAGTTTTTCTGGTTATTTATCAACGCAAGTCGTTAATTATAATAATTACAAAATAGCTGCCTCTTAGTCCAGTTAATTATTACTTTTTTTTACTCCTTTGACCAATTTGTTCTCTCCTCATAAGCTGTGTATGGTGATGTGGTACACAGTAGTAGTAGCAGTAGTAGTACCGCTCCGGTGGCCTAGTGGTTAGAGCGTCCGCCTGGGATGCGGGAGGTCGTGGATTGGATCCCCGGTTGAGTCATACCAAAGACTTAACAAAAATGGTACTAACAGCTGCCTCGCTTGGCGCTCAGCATTAAGAGGTTAGTGTTAGGACTGGTCGGCCTGGTGTCAGGATAATGTGACTGGGTGGGACATCATGCTACATGTTTGCGGCATGATGCCCCCATTCTAGACATCACTATAAACTGCCACACAGCAGACATCGTAGCGATATGACTGAAAAATTGTTAAAGCTACGTTAAAAATCCTAATCACACACACAGCAGCAGTAGTAGTAGAAGGTGTAGTAGTAGTAGTAGTAGTAGTAGTAGTAGTAGTTAGTGTTGATGCAGCAATTGTGTTGGTACGACTTAAATCATTAAAGCCTGTAGAAGAACTCTAATGAATTTTATAAAAAAAAATATCCTTGCCATCACATTCTATTAATCTACATCGTTGTCTTTATCGTCTTGTAGTTATTATAAAACAAACAAGGATTATGCTTACCCGTGCTATTATTTCTGAAATATCTACAACGGTATGCATGCAGCAAAGAACTAATGTCCCATTTCTTCGGATGGAAAACCTCGAAAATCCTTCTATATCCTCGTCAGGAAAGAGGGATAATTCCTGGCATGCAACACACAGTTGTTGCTCTGTCATTATTGCGTTCTCGTGTGGATGAAGCCAGAACAAAGCGATTACTGAGATTACTAGAATCAACAGCATAAAATGTATCACGAGAATCGTTACCAGATGCTTTACACTAAGCGTGTTGTTGTCTGATTTTGCGAAATGTGACATTTCGGATAATAGTTTCACTTAACTGACATTTACAATGTACAAGGAAGTATATTTAGGTCACTACCAACGGTTATCTATTGGATATCGCATGCATTATTGATATGTGTAAATTATGGTTTGAATTATGATAGATTGTAGTTTCGTTATGGCTTATATCGTGTCTCTCTTTTGATCAATAGTTTCACAGTGAGTTATCAATTGGGAACATGTATTTATAGTAACTTTATACGACAAAATTCCAAGTAACCTCCGTTTTGTATTTTAGTTAGAAAAGAATGAGACCCATTTAACATTTTTTTTCTGGAAATGAAGGCCTGCTTGTATTGTATTTTAACATTGACCGTGACATTAACTTATCTGCATGAACATTAATCCAGTCATGATTACCGTGCTCTCGCTTCCTGTTATGTTTGTTTTGGTTTGAGCACTGACTTGAAAGTACATCAAAGATTACAAAAGAATAATAGTCTAAACTATACATACGTGTAAGTTTCATAATAACCGCATTTGAAAATAAAATTCTTTTAAGAAACTTAATTGTTGCATTAGATACATATATTTTGCTGTTTGTCTTTCGATGACCAAAAAAATCAAAACTTGGTTTGGTTTCTTTGAGTTGGTGAATGGCTGATCAGGCGAATTTGTGGTTTGAACTGTATGTGGCACACTTGATAGAAATTGCCGCCTATATTTGTTTGATCAATAGAAGACGTGTTACCTTTCTGAGATTTACACTGCTAGTGCTTCAGCAATGCCTTTGTAATTTTCCCATATTCAAAGTCTATAACCCCAGTATGGACGAGATTTCGCCAGGTTGAGAGCTTCTCAAGGCTCACGGTCAACGATGCAGTGTTTCGATGATGACGTGTAAGGTTAACGACCTTAGTTGTGTTGAAGAACCAAAAGCATTATATTTATACCTTGGAACTCTCTTATCTTGCAGATCATTATGTCTGAGCAGTAACATGTTTCGTCTGGTCAAAATGTCACACTCGTTTCTGGTAGGCGATCTGACATACTTTATCCAAAGGTTGTCTGTTGATTTGGTGGTTTTGCAAGCATACAAGTTTGTAAGGATCAAACATTCTCATTTGAAATTCTTCATCTTCTCCTGCGTTTAGGGTCTCTTTCAAGGTGTCAAAAGTCATAATTCTCCTAAATCAAATCTCCAAGTGTGATATGCATTTTGTAATCGTCAAAGAGTTCATTGTATCGCATTGGATCTGTTCTTGAGCCAATTTCACGCTCAAACAATTCAAAATGACTACAAACTATCGTCATCCTTTTCTTGTATTCACGTGTTGAAGGAGACGCCTTCTAAGCAATGGTATCGTTCTTTGTCATATAAAGTCTTATACCAAGAAGGAAACTCTTTAATTGGTTGACGTAACTTGAAAATGTACTTTCATTGAAGTAGTCATCTTCATTATACTAAGATTACTTTGTAGTGGGCACGTGCCAAATTGCATAGACGGTTAATAACTGGTACTCTGGCACGAAACATTCCTCTCAAGACTCGTTCTCGGTCATCGTTTCTACAAGGATGGTCCTTGTTACATGTTGCATTACAAACTTTTACCATAAAAATGAGGTAAAACAAGAGGGTAAGTGTTTGATGGTGAAAACACACTGCATTTGATCAAAACCTCTGTACTGGTAAATGTTTTCCACGTCGATGTGTTCTGTCCACATTACATAATGACCGGTTGTACAGCCATTATATTTACACACCGACAGATGCAAGGAATACAAGTCGATGTATTTTGATTAGCTTTCTTTGAGATTCACCAAAAATTCGTACAACAAGATTTTCGCACTGGTCTGTCCTCCAAACAAACTATCGCGTATATTTGAAGCTTCGACGTACACTACATCTTAATCTTCAACGATACCTTTGGATTCTGGGTCTGTTTTTAAACGTCGATTGTAGTATTAGTTTTTCCACAATTCTATCACTTGGTAACATTTACTTTTTAAATTTAAGTTTCGAGGGTCCGTAAATAAGTATTTAAACCTGCTACTTCCTCTGGTGGAACTCGTAAATTTAAGTGTTTATATTTCACGGTGTACGTATAAACCAAAGGTAGAGTATTCTTGATAAAAGTAGTTGGGGTTAGATAAAGAAATCTCCATTTGGTTCGGATTGGAATGAAAATGCAGAACGATGAAAGGAAAATAAATATTTAAATTCACAGAGAGAAGGAAGAGAGAGAAATGTAAATGCAAAAAGCAAAGGAAGAAATGCAATCGCTAAACAAAACTATATGAGAGAAATGCAAATGAAAAAAGAAGAAAGAGAAACACAAATGCAATTTAAATTAAAGAAACTGGACAGGACAGGTAGAAAACCCTCGTCTCTTGCATAAACAAAACTCTAGGTTTTGATTCAACAAACATGTTTTAGATTGGTAGCCCTTTGTAAAAAAAAAAAAAGGAGGTAGATAAATATTTGTCATAATTTTAAGAAAATTGCTGTTATCGCAACCCCTCACCTTCATTTATAAAATGACAAACAAGAATAAAATGTAGTCTTTGTTGAAGCATTACAACACTGATGTTAAATATATCAAGGAAAAAGAAACTTTTATTGCAGACGCACCTTTACGTAAATAGAAGTAATATGCTGCTCTTTTTTGTATGTATACTATATCATTCATGAAATATGTTCCTATGTAACATTAATTGAATGTATCTTTGACTACTAGGCTAATGAAAGTTACATTGCATAAATCTTTTCTTTATTAGGGGAGGTGTTATGTATATGTATATTTTTTGTATTATTATTATTAGTAGTAGTAGTAGTATTAGTAGTAGTAGTAGTAGTATTACAATTTGCAAGGGTTATTTATTTAATAACACTTGAAGTTTTAATTTTCTTATTAATCATAAAGTCACACTGTTAGGATGATTCATACATGTATAGCGCATAACTTTATTCATAATGGTCCAGTGCTGAGTTCTAACCTTGTTCAAATAACATCGCATAATTCTGATTTTGGGACACGCGGTTTTGAAAAGCCATGCTGGTCTGATAACCTATTAGCAAATATCAGTTGAGACGTTTCTGAAACTACGTCTTAGCTTTGTATATAAGAGATGTTTATTGGAGTATCAGACACTTTAGTAGTACCACCAGTCTTGGAAGATAATCGTTCGCATTTAGTTGAGAGGATTTTTTTTTATTCAATCAGTCATTGTAATTACAAAGTGTTTGAACTATTAAAGACTATTTGGAATTATAGCTATTACAGAAATAATGTGAATTAGTGTAAAGACATTTTGGGATTTTATCATCGCGATTTCCCCAGTGCTGTTGATACACAGGACAATAGTGAACATAATTCTGAAAACCGCTGGAATTCATTAGGATTTCTTGTATACTTGACTTTGGACTTAATAACATGTTTAAGACTGTTTTGGATTTCATTCACAATAAGTTATTTTCACATTTTTGCTTTGTATTTTAAGGAAATAAATTATTTTTTCAATTTTACAAAACTTGTTGGTTTTTCGCTTTTTGTTACTTATTTGAAGACCATAGTGTTATAACGATATATATATATATATATATATATATATATATATATATATATATATATATATATATATATATATATATATTATATATATATATATATATATATATATATATATATATAATATATATATATATATATATATATATATATATATATACATATACGTATACATATATATATATATATATATATATATATACATACATATATACATACCTATATATATATATACATACATATATACACATATATACATATATACATATATATACATATATATATATATATATATATACATACATAAATAAATATATAAATATATATATATATATATAAATATATATATATATATATATATATATATATATATATAAAGTAGTGAAGGGGGTAGTATAGCGTCAATGGGAGTTATCATTAAAAACCAGCGTGGGGTACTATAGCGTCAAAATTTTTGGCGTCAAATGGCACAGTTTAAGGAATATAGCGTCAAGGGAAATTTTGTATTAGCACACCCTGGGGCTGTATAGCGTCAAGAGAAATGGTCCCAGGTAGCATGACGTCATGATACTGGACACTTGTCAACAGTGTATCAATGTGCAAGTACTGTGACGTCAAGCATTCGTCAAGTACTGTGACATCAAGCGTTTGTCGTTTTAGTGAATGTAGTGAAATGTATGTTTTATAACTTATACAGGCA